TTGGGAGGCCGCGGTGGGCAGATCACAAGGTCAAGAGATTGAGACCATCCTGGCCAACATGGTGAAAACCCATCTCTACTAAAAATAAAAAAATTATCTGGGCATGGTGGTGTGTGCCTGTAGTCCCAGCTACTCGGGAGGCTGAGGCAGAAGAATCACTTGAACCCGTGAGTCAGAGGTCACAGTGAGCCGAGATCGTGCCACTGCACTCCAGCCTAAAGACAGAGTGAGACTCCAACTCAAAAAAAATAAATGAATAAAAAAAAAAAAAATTAGCTAGGCATGGTGGCAAGTGCCTGTAATCCCATCTACTTGGGAGGCTGAGGCAGGAGAATCTGTTGAACCCAGGAGGCAGAGTTTGCAGTGAGTCGAGATTGTGCCACTGCACTCCAGCCTAGGCAACAGAGTGAGACTCCATCTCAGAAAATTAAAAAAAAAAAAAAAACATAGCTGGCATGATGGCACACGCCTGTAGTCCTAGCTACTCAGGAGGCTGAGATGAGAGGATCGATTGATTCCGGGTGGTCGAGGCTGCAGTGAGCCATAATCGAGCAATTGCACTCCAGCCTGGGTGGCATTGAGACTTTGTCTCAAAAAACAAAACAAAACAAAAATATGGATAGATTTGCTGTGGGGGAAAACTTGGTTATGGCTGGAAGAGGTTTACTTTAGCAGGGACATGCTCTTCCCAGTGCATCACAGTCCCCACCACTCTCTGTCATCCTACATGGCTCTATTAACTCATTGATGTTATCTAATTGGCCCTTAAAGGTACTGTGTTAGCACTCTCTGATTTACAGAAATATGAATAACTAAGGGTCTTTTTCACTATTCATAAACCAGCATAATGTGGTCAAGCTCTAGTTTTCTGCTAAAACTAAACCAAACTCACAATGAATTCATTTGGTGCCCTCTGTAATGTGCTCCTTTACCATCATTCATTCACTTCATTTCTTCATTCACCACACTTTTACTGGACACATATTTTGTGCCGGAGATCTTGCTGGACACTGGGAATACAGAGATAGTCAGGACAGAGTCCTATCTTTCCAAAATACCTCATGCTTCTCTGAGCCGAACTTACTTATCAGGATTCCTAACCACAGGGTGAACTCTGCTCTATTCCACAAACAGAGGTGCATTTATTGGTATCCCTGGTGTCCCTTCCCTGCCTATGATGTCAGCTCTCTCTGGACCCATTCCAGATCACACCCAGCCTAAAAGGCTACTTGTTGTACAGTGGAAAGTGTAGCAGTCCAGGGACAAGCTAGAATTGATGGGTAAACCACCTCCCCACTCTGGGCTTCATTTCTTCATTGTAAAGCACAGGTTAGCAGGATGGGCTCTGGAGTCAGACAGCCTAGGGCCAAATGACTTTGGGCAAGTCATTTAACCTCTCTGAGCTTTAATTTCCTCATCTATAAAATAAGGATTGGCTGGGCATGGTGGCTTACACCTGTAATCCTAGCACGTTAGGAGGCTGAGGCGGGCAGATCATCTGAGGCCAGGATTTGAGACCAGCCTGGCCAACATGGTGAAAACCCGTTTCTACTAAAAATACAAAAAGTAGCCGGGCGTGGTGGTGGGTGCCTGTAATCTCAGTTACTTGGGAGGCTGAGGCAGGAGAATTGCTTGAACCCAGGAAGTGGAGGCTGCAGTGAGTTCAGATCATGCCACTACACTCCAACCTGGGAAACAGAGCAAGACTCTGTCTCAAAAAAAAAAAAAAAAAAAAAAAAGAAAGAAAGAAAGAAAAAATTTAAAAATAAATCAATAAAATAAGGATCACAGGATATCTATCTTATAGATACCCTGTTGTTCTAAGAATTGAATGAAATAATTCATCAGAAGGGCTTAACACAGCACCTGGCATATAGTAAGTACTTAGTAAAAGTTAACAGTGTTACTGTATGACATTTTGCAACTTGTCTCCCCTTCTCTTGGAGGTGTCCCTAACTGGGTTAATCCCTTTGGGATTGTCCCTCTTCCAAACTCTGGCTGCCCTTCACAGTCAGTGATGTGATCATGTACTATCTTGAGCACTGTTTGGCAGGCCTGAGGGCTGTACCGTTATCTTCCACTGTCTGTGTCAGTGCCCAGCACTTCCTAGCAGGATCTCAGTGTTTGTTGAACTCTAGATCTGTGGTCATGAACAAGTCATGGACGCTGCAAAGGCTCCTGCCCTTTCAAGAGCAGCTGAGATGAGGCCAGCCAAGCCCTGGGTGGAGGGGCCAAGACCAGCCCAGGGCAGCACAAAGGGGTTGGGTTGTTCTTGAGCTTAGCATCAACTCTGCTTCTGGAGAGTCCAGAACAGGCCCCACTTCCCCTGGGCTTATTGATTCTCTGGAAGGGCAGGTGGAAGTCTTGTTGTTTCCTTCTGCTCCAAAAGGCCCTCCACGCCCTTCAGGAGGAGCAGGCCAGACTCAAGATGAGGCTGCAGGAGCTGCAGCAGCTGAGAAAGGAGCTCGGGGACGCCCCCAAAGACAAGGTAAGGTGGGAGACCTGGTGTTGTCTGGTAAAAACGAGCTGGCGAGGCCAGGTGCGGTGGCTCACACCTGTAATCCCAGCACTTTGGTAGGCCGAGGTGGGCTGATCACCTGAGGTCAGGAGTTTGAGACCAGCCTGGCCAACACAGTGAAATCCCATCTCTACCAAAAATACAAAAATTAGCTGGGCATGGTGGCGCGTGCCTGTAATCCCAGCTACTCAGCAGGCTAAGGTGGAAGAATTGTTTGAACCTAGGAAGCGGAGGCTGTAGTGAGCTGAGACTGCGCCACTGCACTCCAGCCTGCGTGACAGAGCGAGACTCCTCAAAAAAAAAAAAAAAAGGAAGCCGGGCATGGTGGCTCATGCTTGTAATCCCAGCACTTTGGGAGGCCGAGGCTGGTGGATCACCTGAGGTCAGGAGTTTGAGACCAGCCTGGCCAACAGGGTGAAACCCCGTCTCTACTAAAAATACAAAAATTAGCCAGGTTTGGTGGCACATGCCTATAATCCCAGCTACTCGAGAGGCTGAGGCAGAACTGCTTGAACCTGGGAGGTGGGGGTTGCAGTGAGCCAAGATCATCGTGCCACTATACTCCAGCTGGGTGACAGAGCAAGACTCCCTTTAAAACAAACAAACAAACATACACACACACAAAAGAGCTGGGGAGTTCTCAGTTTTATTCCTGGCTCTGCTACTTCTTTGCTATGTGACCTCCAGTATGTTACTTGAACATCTGTAAAGTAGAGCTACCCACCTCCCAGGACAAATTAAGATGTTGTATGTAAATGGCCCGGTATGGACCAGAATTGCATTCATCCACTCATTTATCCAGCTTTTCTTTCAGTAAATGTATTTATCTCCGGCACTCAGCATCAATGGAACGGGATTGGAGATGCCTTCCTCCTAGGTGGGAGTGAGGAACACTCCTACTCCCCTCCCCTACTTCCAGGTCCCATTTTCAGTGCCGGAGATCCCCCTGGTGTTCCGAGGACACACCCAGCAGGACAGGGAAGTGCCCAAGTCTTTAATTTCCAATTTGCGGATCCACTGCCCTCTGCTTGAGGGCTCTGCTCTGATCACCTTTGACGACCCCAAAGGTGAGCTCATGGGGAGCCTCAGGAGGGAGGTGGGGAGGATTCCCAGTACTGATCCTGTTTCCCCACCACCCAGTGGCTGAGCAGGTGCTGCAACAAAAGGAGCACACGATCAACATGGAGGAGTGCCGGCTGCGGATGCAGGCCCAGCCCTTGGAGCTGCCCATGGTCACGACCATCCAGGTGACAGAATGACAGAATCCTGGGGCATGAAAAAGGTGCCATGCACCTGGGCATGGGAAAGTGGAGCTGTGTCTGGGACCACCCCTTGCTGTCTCCCCCTAGGTGTCCAGCCAGTTGAGTGGCCAGAGGGTGTTGGTCAGTGGATTTCCTGCCAGTCTCAGGCTGAGTGAGGAGGAGCTGCTGGACAAGCTTGAGATCTTCTTTGGCAAGACTAGGAACGGAGGTGGCGATGTGGAGGTTCGGGAGCTGCTGCAAGGGAGTGTCATGCTGGGGTTTGCTATGGATGGAGGTGAGGGTCATGCAGACCTCCTGCAGGGGAGATGAGGGTACAGGGTGTGGAAGATTAAGGTACAGGGTACAGAGAGAGGAGAGGGCTTGATGCTAAAGGTCCATCCCTCCTTGTTCCCCACAGTGGCCCAGCGCCTGTGCCAGATTGGCCAGTTCAGAGTGCCACTGGGTGGACAGCAGGTCCCTCTGAGAGTTTCTCCCTATGTGAATGGGGAGATCCAGAATGTTGAGGTAAGCAGGAGGGGTGAACAGGGGCTGGGCTGGGTAACCTGTCTGCCTGCCAGGAACTTGCCCAGTGAAGGATCAGAGGCCCCAAACCCCACTGACCTACCCACGACCAGCCTCTCCAGGCCTCCTGACCTCATACCCCCATGGAGCACTGCCTGCCCTACCCCCAGCCCCCAGCCCCTTTCTCCCATGAGCCTTTGTGATCTCCTGGCTCCTTTTCCAGATCAGGTTGCAGCCAGTTCCGCGCTCAGTGCTGGTGCTCAACATTCCCGATATCTTGGACGGCCCAGAGCTGCACGATGTCCTGGAGGTCCACTTCCAGAAGCCCACCCGTGGGGGTGGGGAGATAGAGTCCCTGACAGTCGTACCCCAAGGACAGCAGGGCCTAGCAGTCTTCACCTCTGAGTCAGGGTAGGGGCCTCCCCTTCTCATCCTCCCCACCCCACGGCCAAGGCTCTCACACGGGTCTAGGCTTAGGTGCCCATGTAGGAGGTCTTTATGTTCACCAACAGGGAGGGATCACACATTGCGAAACACTTTGCCCGGAACAGTAAAAACAGCCTGCACTCCATGATGTTCTTCCTCATTTCACTCATGAAAGGAAACGTGATTTGGGCATGTAAAGAGGTGGGGGCGGGAAGAAGCCAGATCTTCTGCTGGCAGCGCTGGCCTTCCAGAAGCTCACCTTCCCTCCACTCTCAGAGGCAACAAGCAGGACCTAGGGTTTGGCTTTTTATTGACACAAACACAAAGGCAGCTGTGGTAATGGGGTGGTGGGGTACACAAAAGCAGAAATCGCACTTCACACATTTGGGCCTCATGTAGACAATGAGGACGCTGAGCCTGTCCCTCCACCTCCCATTGCAACGGTTGGGGTGATAATCCTCCCTAATTCTAGCTCAGTGAGTAGAGGGAGTGACCTCCCTACCCAGGAAGTCCCCATTTTGGTCACAGTGGCCCAGGTCCTGACCATCCCACTCTGTATTCCCCTGTTCCATCTCCCCACCCATGTAAACAAAGTTGTGGGCTGAGTTTGATAAGCTGCCGCTCTGCTTTGAGAAGGCAGTGGGGCCTCCCCTAAGTGCAAGGGGAACGTGCTTGGATTTTTACTTTGGTCCCAGAACAAGAAACAGACAGCACAGCCTTGCAGAGCTCTGGCTGGTAAATGCCACACGTATCTGCAAGACTGAGGAAGCTTCCCCACCTTTCTCCTCAACCATCATAGAGACAGGACATGGCACAGACCACGATGAGGGCACCTGTTTTTGCCCTGCTCCCCAGGAGGCTTGGGACTGCCCCACCCAATGGCACATACACAGATTTTTGGCAGTGTTGTGGGACTGGGTAGGAGCGAAACCCCAGCTCCACCAGAACAAGGAAGGCACTGGGGAGTACAGGGGAGGAGAAGGAGGTGGGAGACAGGATCCTCCCTCCCCGCCGCCACACACACAGCCACACACACACAAGCACAGGTTTTCGTTGCTAAGGCACTGAGAACAAATCCAGAGAACTCAGTGATGGGTGGGGGCTCTGTATCGCTCCCAGAGTTGTGACCTAGGGGAGTAGGTCTGATTTCCGCCCTGTTGGAAGAGGCAGCCTTGGTTAAGAATGGCAGAAAACCTGGAGATGGAAGAAGCCCAATTGTGCTTACGATGCTGGGGACAGAGGAGGAGATTGGGAACTGGTCAAGCCCAGAGGTGGGCGCTGGTCGGCCCAGGCTGAAGGGACACTAGGGAGAGACAGGTACCTCTGGACTCACAGAGATTGGCCCCATATCCTGAGCTGACATTTCAATTCTTTGGGGAGGTGTCGGGGCAGGGACAGGAGGGAAGATGAGGCAGAGGTGAAAGCACACGGAACACAACAGGGGGGGACTGGCTAACCTTGGCACAAAAGCAGCACAGCAGGCCCAGGGAAAGGGCGGGGGCAGGAAGCAGCCAGCCTCCCTCTGACCCTCCCTGTCCCCTTGGCAGGGCCCAGACATCCAAATGGTCACTTCCCAACCTCTTCAGAGGTCAGGAAGCGGGGAGGGGCAGGGGAGAGCGGGTCATCACCACAGAGACCTTGGGGGGAGGGAGGGCAGAGCATTATGACAGAGGCTGAAATGCAAGTCTGGTGGCCAACAGAACGCAGCTTCCCAGCTTCTCCCTTTGCTGGTCTCTAGGGTCTCACAACCACTCGCTCTAGTTCTCCTTCTCTGGCCCTGGAACCAGGAGGACCTTGCCCACATTCTTCTTCTCCTGCATCTGTTTCATGGCATCGGCCACCTGGGGAGGAAGGAAAGATGAGGCTCCCAGTGCTATCCAGCCTCCATCCAACAAGAGCCAGTGCGATGCAGGCAGCCCTCCTCTTCCCCAGGAATCTGCCCCTTGGGACCCCAGCCCTCATGAGTCCTATCCAAGCCCTCCCTGCAAAGTCCTCACATTCACCTTCTCGAAAGGCCAGACTGAGTCAACATGGGGCTTGATGTGGCCCTGGCTGTACAAAGCCAGGAGGCGGGTCACCACACCAGTGACCAGTTCCACTTCACCATCCAGGTAGCCCAGGTGGAAGCCACATACAGCCCGGTTAGCCTGCAGCAGCTGCAGAGCTGTCACGCTGAATTGATTCCACCATGTCCGGGCCAGGGCCATCAGGTTCCGTTTGGGGCCCGTCAGCAGGTTGGCCATTCCTGAAGGACAAGGTGACAAGGCCTGTGAACACCCCAGGCACATCCCTGTGTGCCTGCATCTGTACTCTCTGTTCCCTGTGATCCCCTTGCAATTCTCCACACCAGTGCCAGGGGGTGATTGGATAATTCTCAAACTGCTGGTTACCAGGCCCAAACCAACCATGGCTGACTTAAAATTGCTCCAGCGGCTGGGTGCTGTGGTTCACACCGGTAATCCCAGCGCTCTGGGAAGCCAAGGTAGAAGGATCATTTGAGGTCAGGGGTTCAAGACCAGCCTGCCCAACATGGTGAAACCTTGTCTCTACTAAAAAATACCTTGTCTGTACTAAAAAATACAAAAATTAGCCAGGTGTTGGCTGGGCGCAGTGGCTCACGCCTGAAATCCTAGCACTTTGGGAGGCCAAGGTGGATGGATCACCTCACGTCAGGGGTTCGAGATCAGCCTGACCAACATGGAGAAACCCTGTCTCTACTAAAAATACAAAATTAGCTGGGCATGGTGGTACATGCCTGTAATCCCAGCTACTCAGGAAGGCTGAGGCAGGAGAATCGCTTAAATCCAGGAGGCGGAGGTTGCAGTGAGCTGAGATCGCGCCATTGCACCCCAGTCTAGGCAAAAAGAGCGAAACTCTGTCTCAAAAAAATAAAACAAACAAAAAAACCACAACAATACAAAAATTAGCCAGGCAAGGTGGTGCGTGCCTGTAGTCCCAGCTACTTGGGAGGCTGAGGCAGAAGAATCAGTTGAATCCGGGAGGTAGAGGTTGCAGTGAGCTGAGATCGTGTCACTGCACTCCAGCCTGGGTGACAGAGCCAGACTTTGTCTCAAGAAAAACAAAAAAAAAAGCCAGGTGTGGAGATGGGCACCTATAATTCCAGCTACTCAGGAGCCTGAGGCAGAACTGCTTGAACCAGGGAGGTGGATGCTACAGAGAGCCGAGGTTGTGCCACTGCCCTCCAGGATGGGTGACAGAGTGATACTCTGTCTTCAAAAAAAAAAAAAAAAAAAAAAAAAAATTGCTCTAGTCTTTATGTATTTGTTTGTTTGTTCCTTTGTTTGAGTCAGGGTCTCGCTCTGTTGCCCAGGCTGGAGTACAGTGCCACCACACCTGGCTAATTTTTGTATTTTTTCTAGAGATGAGGTTACGCCATGTTGCCCAGGCTGGTCTTGAATTTCTAGGCTGAAGCCATCCGCCTGTCCTGGCCTTCCAAAGTGCTGGGATTACAGGCATGAGCCACCATGCCTGGCTTATTTTGTTGTATGAAATACTTTTTTAAATGAAAATGCACCTTGTTTAAGACACTCAGGGAAGTAGGACAGAAAGAAAGCAGGCTGGTTGTTCAAGAATAATCCCCAAACAAGAACATACAATTTGGCCAGCTGTGGTGGCTCACGCCTATAATCCCAGCACTCTGGGAGGATGAGGCCGCTGTACTACCTGAGGTCAGGAGTTCAGCCTGAGGTCAGCCTGGCCAACATGGTGAAACCCCGCCTCTGCTAAAAATAAAAAAATTGGTTGGGCATGGTGGCGGGCACCTGTAATCCCAGCTACTTGGGAGGGTAAGGCAGGAGAATCACTTGAATCCAGGAGGCGGAGGTTGCAGTGAGCTGAGATCACGCCACTGTTCTCCAGCCTGGGGGCCAAGAGTGAAACTCCGTCTCAAAAAAAAAAAAAAAAAAAATGTAGAATTTACTATGACTCATATGAAACGTTGTGACAGAGAATGAAAAGAGCTGGCACCCAGGAGTCAGCAATCTGAATGCAACATACAGGACCATTCCTAACCCTGATTGTCTACAGAGCACCAGAGTCCCTACTCCTTCTTCATTCAAAAGCCCTGGGCCCTACATCCCACCCCTTAGACCCTCCCTCCTGCCCTCACATGCTCTCTCCATGCCTGGCCCACTAACTCACCATAGGTGACGACTTTGCCCATGGGTTTCAGGAGGTTGTAGCCCTTGGCAGTATCTGACCCGCCCAGAGGGTCCATGACGATGTCCACTCCTGTCATAGAGTAGGGCAACCCAAGAACAACATTAGGATCCACAGATCTGGAGCTCCCCTCCCTGTCCTGTGCCTCCCTACCCCCTCCCATATTCTGCCCCCAACCTTTAGGGGAAATCTTCTTGATCTCATCCACGTAGTCGGTCGTGTGATAGTCGATGGGATGTGTGACTCCATTCTCCTTCAGTGCCTCGTGCTTGCTGGCCGAGGCCGTTCCGAACACTGTCACATTCTCCACCGTACGGCACAGCTGCACGGCAGCCATTCCCACACCCCCTGCAGCAAGACACCCATAAGCAGGGGATGTGGAGTCGCCCTGGCTACCAACCACTCCATTCTAGCCTCCCAAGGACTCAGCCCATCAACTTCATTTTGCCTAGGCTCGTTTTAGGGCCATGTCTAATTTCCATGACTGAGAAGTGGTGGGGAGGGTAGCTAGAGAGGTGGGGGTGTGGGGTGAGGGCACGTTGCTAAGGATAGCACACCAGACTAGACCTGGTGCCTGAATGTTACCACGGCAACTACACAGCAGAGGCTTCTGGGCGCCACAGGCCAAGGCAGTCTGGTGTTGCCATGGCAACAACCCAGACAGGCTGCAGGGAAAGGGCCTGGAAGGAAATCTGGGTGGGGTAAGGAGTGATAAAGTGAGGGGACCCGTCACCTGCAGCCATGTGTACCAAGACGCTGTGGCCAGGCCGTAGGTTGCCGAAGTCAAAGAGGACCATGTAGGCTGTAATGTAATTGACGAGCAAAGCAGCAGCTTCCTCAAAGGTCATGGCCTCAGGCATCAAGAAGGTCTGGACCGAGGGCACAGTCACCTCTTCCTGCCACATCCCTGACCGGTTCAACACCATCACCCGATCTCCTGCCTTGAAGAAGAGAAGAGTATCATTCAGTTGGCTGGGCGCGGTGGCTCACGCCTGTAATCCCAGCACTTCGGGAGGCCGAGGTGGGTGAATCACGAGGTTAGGAGTTCGAGACAATCCTGGCCAACATGGTGAAACCCTATCTCTACTAAAAATACAAAAAATTAGCTGGGCGTAGTGGCGGGTGCCTGTAATCCCAGCTACTTGGGAGGCTGAGGCAGGAGAATGGAGTGAATCCAGGAGGCGGAGATTGCAGTGAGCTGAGATCGTGCCACTGTACTCCGGCCTGGGCGACAGAGTGAGACTCTGTCTACAAAAAAAAAAAAAAAGAAGAGTATCTTTCACTCACTCATTCATTCACCCACAGGCTATTTACTGATTTTGCCCTAGGTACAAGGCCCCCTTCTTCCAAATGAAGTAGCAGGAGAAGCAGCAATAGTCATGGTAATAATAATAACATCATCATCAACAAAAACAACCTACCTTTACTGAGTGCTGACTGAGGGCCAAGCCTGATTTCAAGTGCTTTATATATAATGCATAATTAAGCCTTACATCATTTCTTTGAGGCAGATACTATCCTTATCATCTTCTTACAGATCTTACATGTCACTATTGTGTAAGATCCCTGAATGCAAGAAGCTTACAGTTAGGGCAGCATGAAGTATTGTGGAAGAGATCAAACTGCTGTGGTTACAAAAGTGGTCTCGACTGTTTACTGACTGTGTGACTTTGGGTGCATAAAAATTACTTAATCTTTTTGAGCTCCAGTTTTCTTATCTGTCAATTAGGGCAGTTATGAGGATCAAATAGCAAAAAAAATTTTAGCAATGTCTGGCACATAATAAGCACTTAATAATGTTAGCTAATAATAATAATAATAATAGCAGTAAGGAAGTCACACAACCAACCAAAAGAAGGCCACACCAAAGTGCAGGCAAAGTTCTCTGAGCGATTACGGCAGGGTGTGATCACCTGGGGAGAAGTGTGTTTGAGCCAGCACTGGAAGCCCAGGAAACACTTTCACTCAGAGATGGTGTAAGAGGGGCGACAGACAAGGAGGGCTACACAGGCCTA